TCGTTTGGCCGAAAAATGGCCACATATTAAAATACTGTGGGGCCAGCAGTTTTTTATGTGATGCATCGCTTATTAAATCACACGCAAGTTTGTTACTTGTTATTCCCCAACACTGAAATTTATGGTCAAGTTGTGATTCAGTTTCATGCTCGCTTTTCAATAAATGATTGCAGCCTGGGAAGCTGGACCCTTCAATAATGCATGACCTGTAGTTATGCGAAAGGCTTGCTAATATAATTGGCACTTGTTTAGCCGTATTTCACTTGTTTGGGTTGTGGGCTTTTTGGCAGGCTCAAAAAAAAAAGCTCCTTATATCAAATGCACTGACAGTAGACTCAGTACTTCAGAGAGGTTATCAAAGCAGCTCTAGGAAGTTAGGTAAGGAGAGTTAGGAGGGGCAAGCAAAACTGTTCAGTGGGTGGCTGGAGGAGTGATGGAGTTCGTACTAGTGATGGAGTTCTCAGTGGTTTGGGGTTGTCAGACAAAGATATTATTGCAGTGATGGGTTTTACTGTCCATTGTTTTTGATCTTATATTTAGGTGGCCGATAAACCTAAGTCTAGACTAAAATAGTTTTTTTTTTATAGTTTCTTTATTTCTTTTTATTTTATAGTTTCTTTATTTCTTGGTTAAAGTAGGCAAAGGGTTAGAAACCTAATCAGGTGTTCTTGGACAATCAACATCTCCCTTGACACATTCCATTATGATTGGATTAAAGTGTATATTAGACATGTGCGATTCGTTTCGTTCCGAATCGAAATTCGGACGAATTCTCGGAAATTCGGACAAGTCAGTTTATTTTATGTTGTCTGCATCCCAATGGCACATACAGCCGAATTCCATTGACTTCCTGTGATAGACACACAATCGGAATTGAGAGAAAATCTATCCAAAGGTGCCCTGAAATGATTTTGTATCCCTTACAGTAGAAGTTTGGATGTACTGTGTCTGGACACTAAATAAAACAAGTTGCCGTGAACAAGTCCTGAGTAATTGGTGCCACACCCCTGATAAATCAGTGGAAAAACATAGGTGAATGGGGCTGTTAAGGCACCAGTTGACAGATCCAAGAATGTTCTTGGATCTGTCACCTAGTGCCTTAACAGCCTCATTCTCCTATGTTTTTTCTACTGTCTGGACACTAAGTTGACGGCTTCTAATCTGCACACCAAAGGGTTTTCACAGTCAACTTGGGCTCTAATTGTATAAAGTAACCCAAGAGTGTAAGTACCACAATGTGATATTAAAGTTCAGATATAGGTGTATTCAAAAGTAAAATTTTATAAAAAATGTAGACTCTATACGTAGCAAATGTGTTTCTGGGCCAAGCCTCACTCCCTTCGTCATGGCTTAAAAGATGAAAATTGTTTATATGAACTTAGTATAAAAAAACCTATTTGGACTGGTATTTAGCAAAGGCTCATCGGCAGCTGGCGTTTGCTGAAAAAGTTTACTGCACATGCCAGTTGCTGACCACCGAGGTTTGGCCCCCGAAGGACGTTTGCTATGTGTACAGTCCTTACCAGATTTTACTTTTGAATAAATATGTATCTGAACTTTGATATCACAGTGTGGTGCTTTACCTCTAGATTCACATTAGCAATAAAAACTTGACAAGAGTTCTAACTTGACCCTACTCCCCTATTCTAAAAAAAAAAAATGGACCATACATACACAGGGGAAAGATGCTGACACTCATTAGAACTGAAGAAGCTATTTGGATGAGGAGCGAAACGTCTTCAATATTACAGAACAAGCCCAGTTCTATGTGAATATTTACTGCTACCTGTTCTTCTCAGAGGTCGTTCCATACGAGCTCCATGAGGTTGCTCTTCTCTTTTGCCTCACATAAGCTTCATGCGAACACTCAAATGATAAAACATCTGGCAATAGAGACAGAGCAGGATTACCCCCCTATGCCAATTATTGAGATAATGATTGTTCTGTTAATTAACCTTGTAATTGTTACATGTGCAGTAGATTAGGCTCTTCACAAACACTCTGACATAGTCATTTCTCTTCCAGCGTAGAAGAGGTTAAACCTTCATGGAGAACCCTGTGGAGGAACTATATAACTTTACCAAGGAAATTAAAAAATATGTTATTAAAGGCATCTGAAGGGGGGTTTCTACAGTAATTAAATGTGATCTACCATCCATTTATAAAATAAAAACACCCCTGTTCAAGATATTTGTTACTTTGTGAGTGCAAATGGTGGGGTAGCTCTGTAAGTCAGGGCCCTAGAGGGGACAATGGAATTGGGACCCCCATACTGTACCACCCTATTCTGCACATGCTGTCACCCCAGCACACAGTGCATTAGACTAAGATTTCATTAGTATGCTCAGGTATAACCCAAATGTACCCCCAAACCTCCCTCTCTGTGACAGTTGTCACCAGAACAAGACATTTATTTATTTTTTTACAGATGTTTATTTAGTGCCATCAATATAAACAACGCTTTACATACTATGCATTCTCATCAGTCCATGCCAGGACCGTCCCTATAATGGTTACCTTCCCATTTCTGGCCAGAGCATCCCAGGCTGGTTAGAACCTTCCAGCAACCTGGAATACTCTGACTGACTTCCTGCCCAGCTTACTGATGTCACTGATTGCCAGGAGTTGAGTGCGACTCCCTTTTTGGCCAGAGCATCCCAGGTTGCTAAGAGCTCCTAGCAACCTGGCACAGGAGGAACATGTAAACAACATGTAGGTAGTCTCCTGGCCGGGATGCAAACTGAGGATCCCAGTGTTAGCCACTAGGCCACCGTGCCGCCCTGAGATGAAACAAGTCTACCGATGGGGAACGGTCTATGAGAGGAATTTCCTACAAGTTGTAGTGATTTCCTCTCACTTCCTGTTTTGTCTTCCCCGACAGGATAGGGCAGCATAAAAAATAAACTGCTGGGATTTTTAACCCTTCCCTACTCCAAATCCAGAAACAAAAAGAAAATCTTCTGCTTTACATACACTGTTAACACCACTGCTAACAATATTGATTCTCTTTTTTTTTTCTGAAGCCCGAGGGGCGTGCGACAAAACATCCAAAAAGTGAACAAAAAAGGTGCACGTGAAACACACACAAAAAAGTGTACAGAAGGGGTGCTATCTAAAGGGCCCATTTCTGACCCCACCGGGCGCAAGGCTCCTGACAGGGGCAAGGCACCACCGCTAAAACCAGGCAGACCCATTCCTTGTGGCCAGCCGAAGCCGACCACCGAGTACAAGGTTGAGGGCTCCCCCGAAGGGAGGCCCCCAATGAGTGAAGACAAATAAATAAGTGCCAGTGTACTAGACAAAGGCTGGGCCTTGCGGCCCGGTGATACAACTTCCAAAAAGCCCAGCCCAAGAGGTGATGTGCAGCAAAAGCAAAAGTGTCGTGGGCAAAGTGCCTTTCACACAGTGGGGTCCCAAACCCATAGTGCTACTCGGGCACCCCTGGGTCATCACTCCACGGGGCGCTTAACACCACAGGCTTCGTGCCTTCCCAGCCCTTGGGCAGACAAGGTAGACCAGTCCAAATCAGGAGGAATTGGGCCCTGCTAAATCCCAGCACCCAAGAAGTACTCCCGACCCCCACTCCTACGTGAGTGGATGCTCAATTTGGTTTCCTTCCCATAGCCAGGATCCTTTGGGACCCCCATCACTCAGGCAGGGTACTCAGATTCCAGCCATACAGGCCATAAGGCCAGTAAAGCGGCTCCTTTCCCCTCATTCCACTGATAAGAACAGATACTGCATATGATCTTAGCCAAAAGGCGGCCGAGAAGGGACTGTTTTGTCTTCCCCGACAGGATAGGACAGCACAAAAAATAAACTGCTGGGCATTTTAACCCTTCCCTACTCCAAATCCAAAAACAAAAAGAAAAGCTTTGGCTTTACATACGTTGTCAACACCACCGCTGCTAACAATATCGGTTCTCTTCCTGCAGGCGAGCCCGCATTGTCGGAGTATCTCTGGGAGATAATTGGTATTTATTTATTTGCCTTTTTGTAATTCGAGGCTTTCAGCTTCCTGATGACGGGTATAAATCACGCATGTACACACAGCGCGGACATGTTTGTATCTATTAAGAGTCCCTAATAAGAAAAGGCGTTGCTTTCCTATTTTTTTATTTTAACACCCCACTGTGCGCGATTAAGATTGATTGAAGTGCTGTTTTTGTCCCTTGCAAAGCACTCTTTAATTATTGTGCCATTATGCTAATACATGCAAATGCTAAAAAGTGTTTCCTTGGTTGGGAGTGCACGGAACACAAAAACAAAAAAGATTAAAGTGTTAGTCTAAAGTACAAATTAGTTTATTACATTTACTAAACAGCCTCCTAGGATGCAGGTGTCCTGCGTAGGAAATAAACAGCAACGTCGTAAGGGATAAACCGAGCCGCAATAATGTTTTGTTGTGGCGTGCGACGTACTTAAAGGTGTTCGGAAAGGCAATTATGCATGTTTATGTGGTTGTTGTGGTGGCAGTACGTTAAAAAGAAGCTGTGATCTTGAATATAAAAACGCAGGTATTGGAGGGCTTTTCGGTAAGCTTGTTAATTGCTTTCCTCGTTTACAGATTGGTAAATATATATATTAAAGCATTTGTTGAAACTGGAGAACAAGGCTAATTTGAAGCAGGTAAAGCTGGATTCCAGGCATACAGCTAAATACACAGATGAAATACATATATGGGAGCTGTTTTACCTGCCCAAGGATTTGAATTCCTGTCCGTCCTGATCTGAGATTTGTACAGCACACTTGCCTCACAGCACAGCCCGGTCTGGCAGGGAATAAGACCTTTTTTTTTTTCTCTGCTGGAGTTAAGGAACCCTTAAACCTGTGACACACTGCAAGCGAAGTCGTGCGGAGCAAAGCAAAGCTGTGAGGCATGGACGTTCACATGCAGTGTGTGCAGGGCCGGATTCCCCACAAGGCCACCGAGGCCCGGCCTCGGGGCGGCAAGGCGCAGAGGGGCGGCAGCATTTGTGGAATCCCCGGACGCCAAGAACATGCAGTTCCGGCCGCCAGGCGGTTTTGTTCGTTTGTCCGCCCCCCCTGCACTTACCTCTCTCCTCGCTGGCCGCGTCTTCCGGGCCCCGCCCTCCTCACTGACAGCCGATGCGGTGAGCAGAGAGGCAGGGTTAAAAGTAACCCTGCCTCTCCGTGTACACAGTGAGAGGGGAGAGCTATATGTGTGAGCTGAGCGCAGCCAGATGAAGGACTGCATCTTCAGGCAATCGGCTCGCACGTAACAACCGAATGGACTTTGCATCCTGATGCGTGGGTTTAGGCCTGGTGCAGACCTGAGTGATCCGGGATCGCGCATACCGGGATCGGGCGGTCCTGCACAAAGGCAGACAACAAATGCCACGCTGCCCCATTGATTTCAATGGGGTGTCATCCACACGGCAATCGCAGACTAAAGGTACATGCACCTTTTTTTTGCAATACACGACGCGCGCCTGTTTTAGCCACGATCGTGCTCGCATGCACCGGGATGCCATTAGAAAATAATGGCACCCGCAGCGCGATCGCCTGCGGTGGGCGACTCCATGAATTTCTGTTTCAGGTTCCCAGGTGAAAAGCTTCACTTCATTATGGTTCACCTCTGAGCCGTTAGACGTGGTCACCATGAGGGGGAGTTACGTGGTTTTAAACTGTTCGGCAGCCTCGGATCGAGGGTCTCCGACCATCAAGTGGAAAAAGGATGGCGTTTACCTGAACCTTGCCATAGACGACCGAAGACAACAGCTGCCCAATGGATCTCTTATAATACAGACTGTGGTACATTCCAGACATCACCGGCCGGACGAAGGTTCCTACCAGTGCGAGGCATCTGTGGAGGGTATTGGTGCAATTATCAGTCGGACGGCTAAAGTATTGGTGGCTGGTAAGTTTTGATGAGCAAGTTCTTTGGGATTGGTCTACCTTCGGGATTTGACCTGGAATTCACTCACTGTCATCCACCGTGGGTAGGCAATAAGGAGCTGACCAAGCAACCTAGTTAGTTGTGAAGGATACTGTATACTGTAGATTGGCATTTTGTAATGACTCTTTTCAGTGTTTGGTGGAGACTGCAGATGAATTTGGATGGGCAGAGTTAAGAATCCCTGGACATGCCTAGGATGCAGTTTTCACAAAATACAGGGTTAGAGGTGACCTGCGTGTTCCTGATAAATACGTCTGCAATGAAACGCTGCCCCTCTTGTGTCTTTACATGGTAAATATTTAAAGTAGACTTAAAGTGACATTGAAGGCAGATTCCCCCCCCCCCCCATGTTGCTTTAAGGACTTACCTTATATAATACCCCTTGATCCGAACAGCTTCTTCCCTCCACTTGTTTTCTACAGTCCCTCCATCGCTGGTGCCAATCTCTGATCCAGCGCACAGAGTCGGTCCGGCATGCACGCCCCCGGCTGCGTCCATTGAGTCTCAGTGTCGCTCTCCTCCTCACCCCTCCGGTGATCTGTATTGCGCATGCGCCCGCCCACACTTCCTCCTTCACAGCGTTTGGGAGCCGGGACTTCTGCAGCCAGGAGCAAGCGGTGCTGGCACAGGTAAGTTAGTTGGTATTTGGCAAAAAAATTCTTTTTTTTTAATGTTGGGCCATATATATACTGCTTACTAGCAGTAGATATATGCCAAAAAAAGACTTTAATACTTCTTTAAACCCAATCAATAACATTGAATATAACCCTAAAATATGTAATCCCAAAAGCTATTTTCAATATTTTCGTTAAAATGATACCTGGTCATTTGGCCATGAAAGTAATTGTTCTGGCACTTCCTTTTATATATATGAAAATTTCTCCCATTTGTGCTCATACGTTGTCACCTTGGATCAATGGAGACTACAAGGGGCAGTGGTGACATACTCTGCTCAGGCATGGACCCCTGTTTCCACTATTAGGAAACCAGTCCTGAGTAGTAATGAGCAAACTGGCCAATGGTTACTAGGAAATAGGTGGGGGCCCTAGCTAGCGTCTTACCAACCAGAGGGGTCTAGATGGGTCATTGGTTGCTAAGACGGTAGCAGCCCCATAGCATCATAGGTTATAATGATGTGCCTGTCTGCATTCTAGCAACCAATGGCGCTGTGTGCATCAGCTACCAATCAACTAATGACTTTGGTTGCTAGGACACAGACAGAGGTTCGGTAGGTGGGCGAACTGGCCAAATCAATCGTCCATTCACCTATCAGCTTGGGTTCAGGTCAAACTCTTGGTACACCCAAACGCAAAGCTCATCCCTGAGCAATGTCATGCAGCCTCTGTTAGTCCCTGTTCACATCTAGGTGTTTTGTCCCACTCAAGACAAGCAATGGGATTCCTTGTCTTGAGTGTTTTGCTGTACTTGCCTAGGTGTAAATGGAGCCTGAAGGAAGTGTCTGCAGAGAGACTGCAAAAGATGAGCTGCACTGAGGTGCAAAGGAGATAAAAAAAAAAAAATAGGATTCACCTCTACTTTAGGTTTAAAAATAAAACAATAGAACATCACCACCTATTATAGGAATCATTGCTGTCTTCAAGAGCCATGGCCACCTAAAATATCTGCACATCTGACACTTCCAGGTGTGCGGGATGCCTGGACATTCGGGAGCTCCCAAATGCAATTCGGAAATTCGGATCCCAAATGCCATTCGGGTCTGGGAGCCATATACATATATTACTAAAGCTGAGTAAAGCTGAGGCTCCCGCACCCAAATGGCATTCAGGAGCTCCCGAATTCAATTCAGAGATTTGGATCCCGAATGGCATTCGCACCTAGGGGCCTCATCTTTAGTATTATATGTATATACTGTATATGGCTCCCATGTTGCCGTAACGAACATTTGTGTTCAGACCCATTCGGAGGCAATAAACTGAAAACACACCTGATTGTCCAGAAAAGTCACATGTCTGATTCAGTTTAGTTTTTGAACAAAATTCGGACGGGATCCAAAATTCATAAACGGAAATTCGGATTCAGACACATTCGGATGCATTGGGATTCGGAAATTCGGATGTGTCCGAATTTCAGAAAATTTTGTCCCAATTTTCTTTCGGAATTAATTTTCCCCCCTCATTTTAGCAGCTATGGAGCTCTAATAAATGTAACAAAAGTAACCCATTTCTAAACCACGGCTTCCCAATTTAGTTCCGCCTTTAATTGAATCTGACGTTGTTACAGTGTAAAACCGCCGAAACATTTCATTCCTGCAAATTCTCCATAATAAAAAGCGCACTGGAATATAAAGTGATTTACATTCTTAATTACCCTGATGTACAACAATGTCGGTTAATGTCTCTGTATAGATCTGCCGGGACTGACACGAGCACAGCTGTGTTTCTGTAATTTCATCCAAAGATCTGTTCAGTAAGTAACTCACAATCTCCTGTGAATTCTTCTCGCCGTGCAATTCGCATAAATACTTCCGTCTCGGTACTGGATGAAGCCGTATAAGTGTAGTATCATGAAAATGTAATGGGCTTCCTTCCAAAGGTCAAGTTCAGCTGAAATATTAATTGTGTGTGCGTTGCAGATTAATAAACATGAATTTATTCATTATTTACTGTAATAAAGATGTCTCTTCTCAGCGGTTTGCTGTGACACTTGGCAGTTGTTTCTTTAGCAGACAGCTCGGTAGGTCTTCCCTTCAGAATTCTACTATGTGGCTGTGTTGGTTCTAACCCAAGAGTGAGTCAGTGATGTTTAAAAGGAGAACTATGAGGTGAGCGCTTTTCACTCAGCCTCATAATTCTAGCCGACCTGTGACAATGAGACTGTCACAGGTCGGCTTAGTAGATCGGAAGTGAGCGAACACATACCGGCGTTCGCTCACTTCTCGATCTTGTCAGGGCAGAGAGCCATGACAGGGGAGGGACTGGATTCCCCCCTCCCCGCTCCGATCCTCCAGCGCTGACTGGCGTAACGGACGGGGGAGGGGGCAGGTACAGCTGGCTCTGCCTCTAGATAGGCAGAACCAGCTGTCACACACGCAGCTGGGCGGATCCAGACATAATTGTCGGGATCCGTTTCAGCTGCGGTGTCTCAGTATACCGCGAGCTGTAGCTTGCGGTATACTGAGCTTAGAGGACGCTAGTTAGGAGAACTATGGGGAAAAGCCCTAACCCCGGAGTTCTCCTTTAAGCGGCTTGAAGTGCAACTGAAGCCCAAACTTTTCTTTTTAGTTTTGGATAAGCAGGAGGGGATTAGAACACCTGTCAGGTTTTTAATGCTGTCTGTGTTCTCGTTAGGGAGATTCACCTTCTCTATTTGTCCACTGAAAGTGAAAGAAAATCCCAAATATTGGGTTGTCTTCAGAGCAGGAATTGACAGAATATCCTCCAATGGTGACTCTAGATCTGGTGAGCCTGCTGACCACCAGGGATTTCCTTCATGTTGGAGGGATTTCCCCTCTCTCACTTCCTGTGAGTAACCCTCCCTTGCTCTATCCAAAACGAATAGAGGGGAATTTATCAAAACTGGAGCAGACAAAATCTGGAGCAGTTGTGCATGGCAACCAATCAGCTTATCTCTTTCATTTTCAAAATGACCAAACTGAAGAGGGAAGCTGATTGGTTGCCATGCACAACTGCTCCAGATTTTGTCTGCTCCAGTTTTGATATATTCCCCCCCATAGAGTTTTGGCTTCAGTTCTACTTTAAATTATATCCAAAGCCTAAACCTTTTTGTTCTAATGGGAAGATTTCCATTCAGGCCATTCAAGATCACTTGTAAACGTGTGGCTTCCCTGCTGTACATTTAGCCTTGCTTGTCCAAAGCTAAATGTAGAAAAAACAACTACCCGCCCAGTGCTCGGAACTTCATTCCCGGGCATCGGACGATAGGAATCCCTGCCGCCCCTCTTCTCTCTGCCGCCCGAGGTCAGGCCTTGGTTGCAGGGGCGTCCCGAGGTCGGGTGCCACCCAGTCTCTAGACTAGGTGACATCCGGCCGTGTTGTCAGCGTGTGACGTCGCATTGTGCATGCCTGGCGGCGGCCATCTTGGTGATGGGTGGCGGCAGAGAGAGGAGGGGACGTTCACCCGGCGGGATGGGTTATGCCGCCGGGTCCCCTCCTCTCTTCTGGCACTGTTGGGCTCTCGGTCCATGACTGAGTGCCTGACTTTTTAGAGGGGGTGACACCAAAATGTCAAAATGCCAAAATTTTGGTGACACCCCTCCAATGAATAACCCTTTTGTGAATAACGCTGTTAATAACACTCTTGAATTACGTAATAACCATTCAGGTTCTGCCCATTGAACATGTCCATGATTCTTCAACATGGGAGAGATCCTGCAATTATGACTCCGCCTGACCTATCCAGTCATGATAGAGCGCATTGTCACTAATCAAAGAATAGAAAAGATGGTGTCAGAATAGCAGATTAAAGAAAAAAAAAAGAGAGCTGTGTCTCGACATATCGAGGGATGTTGCATTGACATCTCTGATAGCTTAATGGCTTTATCCAAGCTGCCGAGTCTTCCCTCCTAACAAATGAAATGCCTTTCAGTTTTAGGCTTTGAAAATCGTGACACTTTTTTTTTTTTTTCATAAGTGTAATGCATGTATTTTTTTTATATATAAGTGAAGAGGTTTTCTTCAATCACAGGGTAATGCCTTCTCCTGCTTTCACTGTATAAATAAAACATAAACAGCCGCCAATATAAACTGTGCACAGTGGCTTCCAAATAGACAGAACTAATTGCTGCTTCCTTGTCTGCTTATTATTTCTGTAAAAAGGGTGATTATGAACATTACAGCCCCAGGCAAAACACGTGTACTTAACCAGCTGCATTTTATTTTCTAATAGATTGAAAAAAAAATACATGACTTAGGATTTCTAGAGTGATTTCAATGCACATAGGCATGTGCTTTTGCCCTGTTGGGTCTGGAGACATGCAGTGC